TGAGTGAATAATTGCAATACTACATCTCAGCAGTAGACTGACTACTGAGATCATGAATGTCATGTTTAATTTCATTTAGTCTGATCTCATACATTTCTTAATATGAATCCCGCTGAGACTAGTCATTAAAAAAACATGCAAAGTGACTATATATCAAATCTCAAAATGAAACCATGACTTGAAAAAAATGAGAAAGTGGTTTCATTTGATTTCATTTAGTCTTATTCTTAGTATAAAGTTACTATTTTTAGACATTTTAAGGTTTTTTTTAGAATATTTTTAATTTTTTAAAAAGTAACACTTTTTGATAATGCTTAAATGAGATTTAAAGTCATTTAAAGTAATAAAAATAATTTAAATTGAGAAGTGAAAATCATGATCTCATTTGAAAAATATGACAAGAGTAGACAGTAAGTTTCACTGAGATAGTATGAGACTACTATCTAATATTAAAATCATGTAATGAAATCAGTTAAATTAATAATAAAACTATTAAAAATTCTGATTCTGATCTCAGATATGATCACACAGTCAGTCTACTTAGCAGATTTTTGATAAATTAATTGAAGATCTGTAGATATCTCAACATCTTATTCTTATATTTTAATAGAAATATTCATCTTATATAGATAATATTATCTGTAATTATCATTGTAAGCTTCTTATCAGTGTAAGATAATATATTATTCTCAGTTTTAAAAGTCTTATCATTACTGAAAATATTTACTCAAATTTTCAAGACCTTTCAGATAATATGATATGATGTGAAATTCTTATAGAAAGAATGTTTCTATTTAGTCTTAACATATATAACACAGAATGATATTTTTTTCAGACTGATAATAATAATATCAAATCACAGATCTCTGATCATTTTCAATATACTATTTTCACTGATATAACTAAGTTAATGATATTACTCATCTATCAGAAGCTGCTTCAAAAGAACTGCAGATAATTAAGATAAAGATAAAATAATAAAGAAATCAGTATCTGAATTCTTAGAGTTAATTAACTATTTAATCTCATCACAGCTGAAAGATCTTAAAGACTCTGTATTCAGATTGTAATCTGTTGAGACTATCTTTAATTTCAGAACAGCTATATATATCACTGCTTTATATATCAGATTATTCATTACATTATGAAATGTTAATAAGCTGTCAGATAGAATGTAAATGTTATTATAAGACAGATTAATATAGAAGATATCACTATTAATAGATAATAAGAAACTCAAAGTAGTTCTCAGTATTAACTTATATATTACAGTGAATATAGCTCTAGCACTTTATAAACTCAGTAGAGATTAGATTTACAGATAGTTCTAGCATGTAGTATACATAATTAAAGTCTATCAATCTTTTACTTATTAAAATGAATGCAGTGCTGACACTCTAAATCTTTAGAATAATCTTATTAATCACTTAAACTGTTGAATTATTAATTGCTATAACCTCTGAAAATCATGATCTATCACTTATAATTAGACTGGCCGCCGGGACTATGAATTTCATGTTTGATCTCATTTGATCTGATCTCATACATTTCTTGATGTGAATCCCGCTGAGACTAGTCATTAAAAAAACATGCAAAGTAACTATATATCAGATCTTAAAATAGAATCATGACTTGAAAAAAATGAGAAAGTGATCTCATTTGATCTCATTTAGTCTCATTCTTAGCATAAAGTTACTATTTTTAGACATTTTAAGGTTTTTTTTAGACTATTTTTAATTTTTTAAAAAGTAACACTTTTTGATAACACTTAAATGAGATTTAAAGTCATTTAAAGTAATAAAAATAATTTAAATTGAGAAGTGGAAATCATAATCTCATTTGAAAAATGTGATAAGAGTAGACAGTAAGTCTCACTGAAACAGTATGAGACTACTATCTAATGTTAAAACTGTGTAATGGGATCAGTCAAATTGATAATAAAACTATCAAAAAATCTGGTTCTGGTCTCAGACACAGTCACACAGTTAGTCTACTTACAATGTAACATCTAGTGTCACTATCTTATATAGTAAGAGAATCCTTGTAAGGTTTCATGAAACAGACTGATATATTTATAACCTCTGCAAGGTTTACTATTTGAAAAGTCTTAGAATTATCTGTAATAAATAATTAAGTTCTATTCTCACTATTCTTTTTCTTCTTTTCTTTGAATTTCTTTATTCTTACAGCATTATAGATTCTTCAATTATTCAGAGTACTATCAGAATTAATTAATCAAGAGTTGTTAAAGTAAGATCTCTCATATTTAGAATATTTTAATAAATTTTCTGAACTGTGATGATTACAGAAGCTCTTTTGAAAACTATTATAATCTTATTCAGTACAGTCTTCACAGGCTGCATTTAATATATTATTGTTAGAATAAGTAGATGTAGTAATCATTGTAGCTGTTATAACTGTTATAACTATATTAACTGCAGAATCTGTACTCTGTTAATTCTTTTTTCTCTTTGAAGAATTAAGCTGCAAGTGAATCTTCTTCATAAGTAGATTGATATTCAATATTACAACTGTGAATTTAAAATTCTATATCTTCTCTATCTTCTTTTGAATATAATCTCTTCAGTTATTGAGTAGAAGTCAGTAAAAGATATTGAATATTCATACATCTGAGAGAAAAGTATTTATTATTTTCAATTTTATAATAATGAATTAGAACTTATTAAAGAATGTATATAGATTGATAATCTATGTGTTATTAAATAATATAAATTTCAGAACTATCTCACAATGTAACTATATTTTAAAAACAGAGTATTTCTATTTAATCATATTTCAGAGAGTATAAGCAATCTGATTTTTATTATATTTGAAGAAATATGATCTGATACCTGCACTTAATAAGTTTGAGATGAATGTATAAAGTCATTGATTTCTGACATCTCAGAATAGTACTTATTCAGTATCTCTTTATAGAGAGTTCTGTGTCTGTTATTTCTCTATTATATATTAACACTGTGTATCAATTAGTTTCACTTTTATAAAGATACTTTATATAATGTAATTAAATATATCAGTTAGACTATTTAATCTCACAGCATTTTTAACATCTTTCTTAAATTATAAGATGATTTTGTCAATACAGCTATTTAATTTATAAAGATTGAATTTCAATCTTTCATTGAGATTAGAATCTCATGTAACTGTATAAGCTGTTAAGATAATAATAGAATAATTATTAACATTCTGAGATTAATTTGTAGAGATTAAGAATCTCTGTTAATAAAGTTTTTTCAGTTGTAATTTAAGTTCTAGAACTCTTTGTCTCTTCTTCTTCATCTTAAATATTATTTTAAGATGTTTTATCTGCTAATCTGATATTATCTTATCTGAATAATAGATATCTGAGTGTTCATTATTCTCATCATAAGAATTAGTATTAAGCTGTTAAGTAGATCAGAAAGCCGGTCTGACTGTGTTAGAAACTGTATTTAAATAAGCTTCAAATTAAAAGAGTGTTTTAAAATGTTTATTAATGAAGCTTTCAAATGCTTCAGAAGAATATTCATTAATAAAGTATAAGTGTAAAGAATTATTATTACTAGTAACTGACTCAGTGAATAGAATACAAGATTACAAATATATATATAAGTAAGATTGTATTAAATTTATCATCTTTATATTTATTTATTAAATTCTTGATATTTATTTATTAAATTCTTGTCAATATTATTCTCTTTTTCTTACTTTTTTTACAAATGTGATATGTTTTCTACAAGCTTCTTTTTTTTTTTTTTTTTTAAGTAAGCAGTAGTATTATTAATTAACAAGATCTTAAACATATTAATACTGATAGAATAAGACAATTTTAACATCTGATAAATGTATCAAATAAAGCAGTAGTTAAAATAATAATTATATTAACAAGAAATTCTGAATTAATAGTGATTTTATATAAAACAGATCTTATAACCTGTAAAAGATATAAAGCTTACTTAATTGAAAAGATTACTAGCTTGTGAGAAGTTATATAATGAAAGAATTAGTAAGTCAGATTATATAACCTAATATATTTACAGATAATTAAGTAGTTTTTATAAAAAAATAACTTAATTTTATAGAAAATATTCAAGAATATTTTTCATTGAAATAAATTTATTCACAGATTTAGAGAGTTTTTCTATTTTAAATACAGAAAATAATATTTTGTGAATAAATAATAAATTCTCTGAGACTTTTTTTTTTATAAAAATTATTTATAGTACAGTTTAATACTTCAGAGTTTCTACAGTAGAGGCCCCAGTGACTGAATGATTAATGCGGCCACCCGGTAGTGCCTTGGCGTGGGAAACCAAGACACGTGGGTTCGAAACCCGCAGAGAATACATTAAATTCAGAACTCAAGCACCTCAGGTTTCTAATAAATACAGAGGTGTACAAATCACTCCAATGAATCACTCTATGTTCCTGGGCTGGGAAGTTATTATTGCATGTATCTAATTGTCACTCCTTTGTATTTTCCTATGTTCTTGTTATCTTGGCGTGGTCTCAACACCTGTATTTCCTCCTGTATAATCAACACTTAACCTGTATTTAACATCATGCAAGGACTCATCATAAGCTCCGCTTGCATATGAGTATAATGAAAGAATAATAATAATAATAATAATCTACAGTAGAGTTTACAGAGATTAAAGTGTATAAATTTCTAATCTTTTCAATTATAATGAGCAGTTGCTGATTGACAGAGATTGAAATGTAAGAATAAATACTTATAAATAATTATTCAGAGATTTACAGCTTAGTATGATATATATATACTGATAGCTACTAGAAGTATTTACAGTAAAAAGATAAATATAGTAGTTAAATATATAATAGTATTCAAGCTGAGTTGTAAATAGTAGTTACAAACTTCTTACTATATAGATTGTGTGTAGTTAAGAGCTGCTAACTCTATTATTATATAAGAGATTGAAATAAAGATAAAAAATCTATAAGAAGCAGAATTTCTTACATTAATATTTAACTTATTTTAACTCATTTTAAGAAATTTTAATTTATTTGTTAATTAGATCTATATTTTATATATATATATATATATATTTTCACAAATATCAATCACATTGCATATTTGAACAAAAAATGAAAAGAAAAAGACAGTCTGAAACAGAAGACTCAAAAACTTTGAAATAGGTATAAAATAATAGAGAAATAAGAAAGATATATGTATATTTAACATAACATAACATGCAAACAATTGAGGCGGGGAGGCGGTAAAGTAACTTGAGTCCTCAGCTCAAGGAAAAACAGCAAGGTAAAAAAAAAAAAGAGAGAGAAAAAAGGAAAAGAAAAAGAGAAAAATAAGGAAAATAAATAAAGAAAAGGACATTAAATTTTTTTCGCTTTCCCATGACGGGATCCAAGATACAAAAGGGGGGGGGGGGGGGGGGACGGAACACCCCCTTGCTTCTTTTTTTCTTGACTTAGTTTAGATCAGATGGAGGTGACGCGCGTGTATATATATGTCAATATACATGCGTAACTTCCTCACCGTTTCCAGTGCAAAAAGCGGAGGTATTCATGCAAGATACATAACACACGCCCACGCCCACAGGGCAAACATGTACATACGGGGGGAAGGGGGAGGGGGGTTTATTGGTAGTAGGGGGCCAAGGCAGCGCAGCACGACAAGGAGGAGGGCTAGGTCAAGACATCAAGTCAAGACCCCGAACCCAACAACGATAACTACACAACGTTCATCTCGTCTCATCTCATCTCATCTCATCTCATGTTCATCTCAACCATGGCATCCAACCATCCATCCACAAACAATCCCCACGCCATACACCTCTTCTTACGCGCCGCGCATCATGATGTCTGAACGGCTCATACGCCATATCCCTCCCATTCGCATTAGCAGGGGGCCCACCAGCCGCAGCAGGCATGAACGGCGCAGTCGTCGAGCCGGCGCCGCCATACGGGTCCGAGACGCGCTCGTACGTATAGGGAGTCTTCTCAGCGGTGATGCCGCTGACACCGCGGGTGCCGCGGCGGCCGCCACCGATGCCGCCGCCGGCGTTGTTGGAGTGGCTGTAGGGGGAGCGGCCGGAGCAGCAGCAGACGCTAAAGAGCCAGAAGACGCCTGAGGCGAGGGAGAAGGCGACGCCGAGCCAGAGGGTTGCGAACATGTTTTTGCCCAGCGTGGCGTGGACGTTGTAGGGTTTTAGCGAGGTGTTGATGGCGGCGGTTAGGGCGGCGTACATGGCTGTGGCGGTGATGGCGGCGGCGAAGAAGAAGACGGAGGAGACCTGGTTTGTTTTATTAGTTTTTGGATTATTGTGTTTGTTTGGGGGGGTATGGTATTATTGGGGATAAAACGTACAGCAGACACGATGGTAACGACCAGACTACCCCAGCGACTAAAGACAGCCGCGATACCAACCAGCAACTCGACGCAGGTCGCTACAAACGCCACGATGAAGGCGATGAACATCCAGCCGGCAACCTTCTTGTAGGCGCTCAGGCCCTTGTCCAGGTTATCGGGCAGGAACTTGTCGTCGCTATTATCCTCGACCAGATCTTCGAGATCCCACTCGTCGATGGGGTTGAACCAGTACTTGGCCTTGCGGTCGGTGCATCTAACGATCTTGAACTCGCCGTTCTCGTACTCGCCGTAGCAGTGGTTCCAGAGGCCGACGAGGTAGAAATCGTGCAGGTTGCCGCTGGCGTCGGCTTGTTGGAGGCTGTTGGTGAAGGGCAGGAGTTCGTTCGGGATGCCCTTTGAGTTGAGGTCTAGGTCTTTTAGGTCTGCCTGTGGTTGTGTTAGGATATATATATATATATATATGTATGTATATATATTAAGTACGTATATGTAGAAAACAACTCACCTTGACGAAATAGATATTTTTGAGAGGAGCCTTTGTGTTTGTCACGCCCAAGCCGACGAAGACGAGACAGACAAGGGCGCCGATTGAGAGGAGGTAGGGCGTGAAGATACACGCTATTCTACCGCCTTTGCCCATGGTGACGGAGGGCGAGAGGGATCGATATGGAGGGGGTTGATAGGGTTGACGGGTTTGACGGGTTTGACAGGTTAATGAGGTATCGTTATGCCGATAATTGAGGAGAGAGATATGAGAGGGAGAGGGAGAGAATGGAAGAAATCCAACACCAGGGCGGCGGGCGAGCGAGTGTTTTATTAGAACACGCAAGGCACGGCGGCGGAACTAAGGCTGTTGTTGCGTTGCTGCGGCTGACGCTAGGAATCCAACACGAGAGATTGGCAGCAGGGAGAGTGGGTGGGTACGAGCAGCACAGGACAGACAGAGGAGACAGGACAGGCACAACAGGAACAGCCACAACGCAGCAGGCAGGGTATACAAGATTAACGAGCGCTGGATGCAAGAGTAAACAAAAGAGGGAAAGTAAAGGGTATAAAACAACAGATGCTGGGTTGAAGCTGGTGACGGAGCTGGCTTGCTGCATATATATATATAAATATATATATATATTCTGTATACACACAGTAATAATAAGATAGTTAACTTACAGTCACAAGTTATTAATAATCCACCCGCCCAGCCGCCAAGCCGCCGGCGCCAGCGTCAGCCTTCTACATCTCTTCTTTCCAACAGGTTATTATTTATCTCCACGGCAGGACACTGCTGGTTATTAGTAGTTCTCCCGGCAGATCACACAGTATGTATCACAGCAGGATTCTGCACTAGAATCGAGATAGAATTCGTGCCCCTGACCCGTGGCAATAGCCCACACTACCATGGGTTCCACAACGGTTTCGGTCCGCGCGGTGTGTGGAGTTTGTGCTCTGCCCCGGCGTCGCGCCTGTTGTGGCTGTGGGCCGAGGGCTGTGTGCGTTGTGCTACGGTGGTTATTCTTCCCTTCTCGTTTCTTTTTTTTTTTTTTGTTTTCTTTTTTCCTTTTTTTTTCTCTTCTGCGCGCGCTCTTGTGCTGGTCTGTCGTATTGTATCGTATTTTAGATTTTAGTATAGATTGTGATGAACTGCCGCTCCCCGCCAAGGTCCCCTGGCCAGCGTGAAGACCCCCGGGAGCGGGCAATAATGAACATGAACATGAACATGTACTCCGTACATGAACATGTACATACATGATACGGGAGGGAATACGATGTTCCATTTTAACCCCGTCTATTGTTCGTCTGAGGATACGGGAGGCATATGATACCTATGCTGTTCTTGAAGAAGAACCTGTCCCGTCAAAAACACGATATATTACTCCAGCGCGCGGGTTGTAAAATAGTAATAATATAAGAATTTTAATTCCTGAATCTACTGCCATTGAGTAGTGATGACACTGACAGCTGACAGCTGACACTGGCCATAGGGACGTTAATCTTCGTTAGTTAGGCGTTGCTTGGTCAGAGATTTACACAGTGAGTGGAGTGGTTCCCTCCAAACAAGCCATGATCTGACCGCGCGATGCTATAAATAAATCCAAATCCAACAATCTTATTATTCTTTCTCGAGTCCCCGTCCGTGAGATACGCTGTACGCAGCGTAGATCAAATCTCAGCATTCTCAGCATTCTCAGCCTTACCCCCCTGTCCTGTCTGGCAAATAAACCCAGCGGTGATGGCCCTGCCTCCGAGCCTGTCCTAGGAGCACCGCTAACTAACTATTTAACTAACCTAGTTAATTCACAAAAACGAACCAACTAACTCTGTAGCTGCTCCATCCGAAACGATCGCTCGCTTCTGCTGTTTGACATTTTTGCTGTCATTCTTCCTCTCTGACATCCCATGTTCGGACGGACTCTCTTCAGCTACAGCTCCAGCTCCGAACGTCTACTACTCCGCCAGCTATCCGCTTGTCGCTATCACCGTTATTACTGATTATTAAGGGTTGATTCTATTCAATTCAATTTGATCGATAACTACTATATACTATATGAGTGCTCTCTTCTTGGCCCCCTAGGTAAATAATTGTTGGCCGTTACGGCCCGTTGCGGTTAGCGATCCCACTAGATCATGTGACCCACCACTATATTATGTTCTTGTAGATAGATCTATCAATACAATCTTCAACTATTCTACAGATTATAGCCTGAATGACACATTTTTCTTTTTAGAATGTTGCATCAACATTTTTGATGAGAGTAGTTCATCTTTTTTAAAAAGACTCTTACTCTTTATTAGAGATATTTTATTTTTTCTAAATCTGTCAGTCAGCAGATTCATATACTTTATATTTTTAAGAAAGTATGTTCTTCATTGTGTAGAATATTACTTTTTTTTATATATCTAGAAGAAGCAGAGTTATCTTAATATAAGTAATACATCTATTACTTCAGAGTTCAGCTTAAGACTCAGAGTTACACACTTCACTAGATAACTCATTGATAGAATAATTACTTATTATGAGAAGACTTCTGACTTATAAGATAAGACTGAGATTAGTTTTTATCAGAGTATGAAATTTAATAATGAGATAATGAAGAAACTTCAGAATAAAGAAAAGCAGAGTTAATATTCATCTGTAGAATCTGTTTATTTTAACTTATTAAATTCTTTACTATCTCTTACTCTTAGAATACTGACTTTTAATAATAATCTGAATCAATCTATCTATTATATTACAGATAATCTTATAAATCTTATACAGATAATACTATAGAATTAAATAACTACAGCTGAAATTACTTAATATCTTACTATATCTATCTCTGTATAAAGAGACACTATAAGAGATAAGTTGTAGAAATATCAGAAGAAAGTTAAATATACACTAGATATTAAATCAGTAATTATATTTAATAACTTTAATTATAAAGTCTGATATATTAATATATTAACTGATATAAAAGTTATTAATAAAACTAACATTCTATTAAGAATTTAATAAGAATTCTCTTTTATATATTATATTAACTCTGAGAAGTGAAAGATCTGTTTTAAGTCTCTATATAGATATATGCTATTAAGTCTTATTAAAAATGTTTAAATTACTATTAAAATCTTGAAAGCTGATAATACTATAACTCTGTAAGATAAGATTAATATTAAATATATAATATTACTGACTGAAGAATGAGTTAATGTCTTTGAGAAATTAATAAAATTATAAGTTAAGAATAGTAATTATCTTACTTTTCAGAGATATTTTCACTATTTTATTATCTATTATAAGAAGCTCTGTCAGAGTATTAAAAATATATATTATAATCTTTTTCTCAACAATCTGTAAGATTACTAAAGATTATTTATTAAGATATATTTAAATAAGTTTTTCTTCACTAATTAAGAACTTATTATTAATATTGATATCAATAATTTAATAAAGCAACTGATTAATTATACATTTAAGAAGATTATCACTGAGTGAAAAAAGCAGTCTCAGACTAATTCTGTGACTGTAAAAAAGAATAAGAATAAGAATAAAGATAAGAATAAAAGCATAACTGTATGAAAGTACATTTACTGTAGAAGATATGAATATACTGTTAACAGATGTTTTATCTTACACTCTGATAAAAAGAAAAAGAAGATGAATAAGAAAAATGATAATAAGAAGAAAGAGAAGAAGAATGACTTAATAAGTTCTTAATCAGCAGTAAATATAGTATTTACAAAGATTAAGTTCTATTTCTCTTTCACAGTCACTGAAAAATCATTTTCTAGATCTTGATATTTAGATATATATACAAGTCTGAATATGATAAGTGAGCTTTATTCTTTCTTAAATATTAAATCTTTTAATAATAACATCTCTGTTGATTCTGTGACTGAGAGAACTGAGTTTGTTAAGAAGATTAAGACTGTTATCTTGAAGATTGAGAATAATAATATTAACTTACAGAATATTCACTATATTTCTAATATTATAGTTAATCTACTCTTATTTACAAAGCTTAAAGATCAGAGATTCTGATTTATATTATCTTTCACTATTCTCTCATTTTTCATTTGCAGAGCTCTAAATGATGTTATTTTTCATATAGTTCAGACTGCTCAGAACAATATATATAAGATTAATGAATAGAAGTTTAATAAGAATCTCAATTATCTGAACAAGACAGTCAAGTATATTGCAATGTCTCATGAGTATAATTTTGACTAAAAAGTTGATTTTTCTGTGACTGCTGCTACTACTGTTAATAATATTGATTCTGCAGATGTGAAAACACAGATATCAAAGATATCAAAGACTCTTTTAAATTAATACTATAATCTCAGTCACATTCACACTGATGCTATAATTACTATAATCAAGAATTCTCATACTGAAGTCATAATTAAAGATTCTAAGACTAAGTTCTTTTACAAGAAATGTGTTAAGATAGATATGATATGAGATTATTTAAAAACACTAATGTCTAGATCTATTTAACTCATTGAAAAGATTTATATTAATCTTATAAGTAGTGAATATACATTGATAGATCTCTCTAATCATCTCTTAGAGTCTCATCAGAAAATCAAATACTGAATACTTATTATCTGTAATATGACTTACTACTGTTAAGTATATTTTTCAAAGTTCAAGAATGAGATCATTCAATACTTTGAGTTATAACTAGACTGACTGTGTGACTGTGTCTGAGATCAGAATCAGATTTTTTAATAGTCTTATTATCAATTCAACTGATCTCATTACACAGTTTTAACATTAGATAGTAGTCTTATACTGTTTCAGTGAGACTTACTGTCTACTCTTATCACATTTTTCAAATGAGATCATGATTTTCACTTCTCAATTTAAATTATTTTTATTGCTTTAAATGACTTTAAATCTCATTTAAGTGTTATTAAAAAAGTGTTTCTTTTTAAAAAATTAAAAATAGTCTAAAAAAAACCTTAAAATGTCTAAAAATAGTAACTTTATGCCAAGAATGAGACTAAATGAAATCAAATGAGATCACTTTCTCATTTTTTTCAAGTCATGATTCTATTTTAAGATCTCATATATAGTCACTTTGCATGTTTTTTTAATGTCTAGTCCCAGCGGGATTCACGCCAAGAAATGTATGTGTGGCGGGCTGCGCCTGATCAATCATATAGACTATTCCGTTACACTTCATAGATTCTTCCGCTCCGATTCTCGGTCATTCTCAATCGCCGATCCTCAGCTGTCACAAATGTGTACACTCCGATTCTCGGCCATTCTTGATCGCTGATCCTCGGCTGCTATGAATGTGTATAGATTCTTTCACTCTGAAGCTTCACTATGTATGTTATCACATACATGTATAAATATTCACTCTGATTACTAATTCTCACACTTTCTCTTTCTTTTCTTTTCTAATGTTTTTCTCTTTGTTATATAAGACCTATTAATATAATACTGATCTATTCAGCATAGATCTCTTATACTAGAAAAACATTCATTGTCTTCTTATTAGAAATGATTATTCATTGAGAAATATTTAAATGTATAACAATGTGTAAGAAATAGAGAAACAGTTAAACAGTTAAGTGAATACTGAGTTCTCAGATAGAAGCTTGCTTGTCAATTACTCTGATCTCACAATGAGATCTTATGAAGAGAGTAAGATTTTATAAGAGAATATCAGTGAAAGATCTGAGAGTTCTGACACTCAGATATATAAGATATTTATATAATTATACATCTGACAATTAATATAATCATGTCTAACAATAATATAAAACTCTTAAATGTGAGTATAGACATGATGTCACAGTGACTCTGAGCAATGTTGAAATTATAATAATAATAAATAGCTGATATGCATGCAACTCAACAACTTTAATATAAAGAGATTCAATAATTAACTCATGCAATTTCAACATCTACAGAATTGAATACAAAAGTGCTGAAGAAATACTTAGATACTTCTATATATTTTAATACTTCTGATCTCACTCTCTACTCATTATGAAGAATGAAAATGCTTGTGAAACTGAGTGTAGATGAAGATGTCATCAGTTCATTAATTAATCAAGATTGATATATCAATGAATAATTGAAGAATTATATGAAACAGAAGTTCTATTTATGAATAAAAGCATGTGAATCAGTATTGTGAATATCTGATAATATTATAAAACATCTTGATATTCTGTTCTGAGACACTGTCATGTAATAGAAAGTGTTAGACTAATTACAGAGTATCTGACAGAGAAACACTTCTCTTATAACATTTATTCCTGACTTCAATATTAAGATTTCAGAAGCAGATAATTAATCTTGAGAAGATTGAATGAAGATTAGCATGCTTAAGAAGATATTGACCTTTGAACTCTTACAGATTCTTGTAAGTGTAGACAAAGATCAGACTTATAAAGATTTCTGCACACAGCTCTGAACAGTGAATAACTGTCTTACCAAGCTCAAGAATATACAGAATAGTGACAGAAGATATTACACATCTGTACTGAGAAATAAC